TTGTTGTTGTTGTTGTTGTTGTTGTTGTTGTTGTTGTTGTTGTTGTTGTTGTTGTTGTTGTTGTTGTTGTTGTTGTTGTTGTTGTTGTTGTTGTTTTTGTTGTGTGCTTGCCTGTATGTGTGTAAAGTTTTTGCTATTTGGGGATCATGGATGGGATGGGATGGGATGGCTCTCGTCGTGGGAAGGAGGCCTGGTGATGAGGGCGCTTTTTCGATTTAAGTAGAGAGAAGAATAATACCTCGTTATGAGCATGCATTTAGAGTTAGGTAGGTATCTAACCTAGGTTTAACATAATTAGATCTCGTATTTCTGTTTCAATTCTTCTCTCAAAGCTCTGTAAGTGAACCGGCACAAAACTGATGTTTCTCCTAGGCTAGACGAGAGCCAATAAACGTCAAAGTACCAGAGTAGTATGTAATGTAGGTCGTGGTCATGATTGAAAAGAGGTAGGTACCACTGTAGTGTATGTAGTATAGTATAGTATGTTTGTTCTAACCTATACACTCTCCTGCAATCGATTGGTTTAAGTTCTTTTTCGAAAATTCTACTGCGGATGTAGAAATGGGAGAAAAATACGGAGATGAAATGTCAAGAAAAATGAAGTTGAGAGAGGCATACAAACTCACTCACTTTTTTGACCATAACTTACACTTACACTGGAAGTTGAACGCATATATATATATACCAATGTCAAAAACTAAAAGATCCAAGGTGTCGATTAAGACTATTGTTTGGGAGAATTGATGGAATATTTGCAAAGATGATAAAGTCGAACGGAGCTCATGGTAAGGTTTGACTCTGTATCTTCCCTCAATCTGGACTAACACGACATTCGGTTTACAAGAGCCATGGAATCGAATCCCTCTAGTGAAGACTTACCAGGAGGACAATCTGGGAGAGAATGGAGATAGATGAAAATCGGATACTCAGCGAGTTTGTAATAGGTATATGAAATAAACCATCTACTTCTTGCTGAACTTCTAAAACATCCCTCCAGTCAAAGAAAAATACAACCCCTGTCACGATCCTATTACGAGTCTTCCCCGGTTCCTAATGGGGCAAAAGGGGGACGCTGCAACGCTCAGGTAGAAGCGTGAAAGAGATATCTATCCAAGAATTCGTCAATGAAGATATTAGACTCCTCGATCTGGCGGCCTGCAAACACCTCCGGACTGGAATACCCAACAACAACACGATCTGGTGTCAGTAAAGGGACGGAACGCAACAACGGCAAGCGAGTGGAGAATGATTGTGAACATACGGCTTCGAAGCTCCTCTCAGCACACGGTTGTACGCCTCTCGCAAGCCTGGGCGCATGAAATCTTCCAGAGCTAGGCTCTCCATGAGCAATTCGCGGAGGTCGTTGTCGAGATTCGGCCAGTCATCCGGATTGACAAGGCCGTTCGCGATTGTGTGATAGTCATCCGTCTGGGTGAGTTGGCCGATCAAATTTCCCGCATCGGGTCCTCCCAGCATCCATATCATTGTCTTAGTGGCGGGAAAGTTAGCCCGATGGACTATTGACTGGCTCGTCCATATCTTCACGATCGGGAGGTAAAGGGAGGGGGGGGATATAGGTAGTACCCTGGCAACCGCGGCAAGGTTCCGGTGTATGGCTTCCTCGGGTGTTCGGCTATAGCTCGACATCCCATAGTCGATTACTTTGAAGATTGGTATCACCTTGTCTATGTGCCAGCGTACATTAGCATCAGCAGCGGCGTGTAGGGAACAAGGGTGAGTTCGACCAACGTTCACTATCATTGAGCCACCTGCCACCGATCATGACATTCCGCAGAGCAATGTCGTTGTGGGTGAATCGTCCCGGCTCCTTGTTATCCTGTGGCAGTTGTTCAATCTTGGTGGGCGCACCGGGGGGACCCCCGGGAGGATACGCCATACCGATAACGGCCCGTATCACTGAACAACCAGCCGCCCTCCTACGTCAGCAATCTCACTTCTCCTTCGCAGAAGTACATAGGGGTAAAAGGGCGACTGCATACTGCAGAGATATATCTTCCACAGGAGTCGATTCGGTATTGGCACCCCGGCGCGCCAGATTCTCTCCCACATGGTCAGAAGGTCTCCGTTCTCCATATACTCGAGCAGAACGGCTGGACCGTCGAGGTGGCTTATAGACCTGATCAAATTCTTCGGCGGGTTCTTGAAGGCGCCGAGGAGGCGTCGCCACCAGGGCAGTTGAGGCGACTCGAAGGATACTTTCCGTCTGTAGTAATTGACCTCCTCGGAAGAGGCAATCATCTGGAGATGGTGGGCGTTTCCTCTCATCCGCTATTATAGTATCGAAGCGCGGTCAGTCAGAGAAGGACCCTAGGGCTTATAACCTCAACCGAAAAACACACCTGGAGACTATGCGACTCCTTGATTAACTCCTCGTTGCGATAGACGTCGTTCATCAACAGACTGCGCTTCAAGACCAGACGCCTCCTCTTGTGAATGTGAAGCGGATCGCGGTTGGTTATCAGCATGGTCACGCCGAACGTCCCGTTGCCCAGTACCTTCTCGAGCTCCCACAGCTTGGACTTGTCGAGGATCGACCTCATGAGCCGCTCCTGCAAGTCCACAATCTCCCGCTCCCTCTCTTCGGTGAGTTGGACGAGCGCCATGGTTAGGACTCTTCACTTTTATCAAAAAGTCGCAGGTCTTCTGAAGGTGGCTACAAGGTAGGTAGCGGACGACCTGCGACGCCCAGAGGCATAGCAGCTCGCATGGCCGTCCATATTGCAGATCTACTGGTCGTTTGCCGACTTGATCACTTACGTTTTCATCCCCTGCAGGAAGTGCAGTGCTTTGTCTCCTCCGAATCAAAGAGATGTGTCAAAGAAAAGTGCTGTATGAGGCAGCAACTCAGCAAGAAACAATAGCTTCGTTCTTTCCCAGCTTAATTCTGTTCCCATATACCTACCTAGGTTAACAAATTGAGAAAAGGAAGGAAAGTAGCAGAGAAGAGGAGAGAAGAGAAGGAGAAAGAGACAGTGATGAGTAAGGTACTGTGTGCAAGCACTTTTCTCGACCTGTGCCTACCTCACCCGTGACCCATGGCAATCAAAGCCAGAAAGCGCAGTCTTTGGTAGCGCAAGTCTTGAACGTGACCACTTGGACATTTTATAAAACCTACATTCATGAGAAAGGAGTGACCAGTCTCAACATTCTTCAAGTAGGTACCTCAGGTTAGGGATGCTCTTTTCCTCTGTTGTTGTTGGCTAACCTAGAAGGTTAGTCTAACTGCCATGGCTCTTGATTGACTTAGGTTATTTGAGAGACTGTAATGACCTTAGGTACCGTGGTGTCTACTTGTACAAGTAGGCGTTGCAACCCAAAGCGATCGATGCCAATTGGGGCAGAGACAGACGTTAGCGCCTCCTGAATTGACGGACTGAATGTTTAGAACATAGGATGTACATAACTTAGCATTCTTCAACAACAAAGGCCAGGTGGCGGAGTGGTTAACGCGGTAGACTCGAATATTCACTATTACAGTGTGTATCTTGCCATCTACTTCCTTCGGGAGCGTCTGTTCGAATCAGGCCCTGGTCGGTTATCTTTTGCTCGCTTGTGATTATTTTTTCAGTTTATTTTTTATTCCTCTTATTCAGTAAAAACAGTTTTAAATTTTTTTTTTAATTTCTACTGCTGTACTGTATGCAATATTGTTGCATCTTTTCTTGTGTTTTCCTAACCTTGCATAAAGTAATTGGTCTATGTTGATTCAAGGGCAACTTACCTTGTCGCTACGAGGGAGGAGGATAAGTACATAATGATACAGTGACGGTGATGTTGGCTGGAGTACGTCTCCATCGCATCCCCGCCAATAGGTACGCTTTACAGGTCCCAGTTGCGTCGCCTGTCTGGTTACACCACCTCCGTGCTCAACACCCAACCACGTCTAGATAGGTCCGGCATCACCAGCAGTTGCAAGGTCAAAAGAGCGCTTTGCCCAACGCAGTCATTTACCATGGCAGGAGACCGCCATCGGTGTCTATCATGCCGTTCTTCGCGATATCGTCATCCCTCTTCCCGAGAACCACGTCGACGAGGCTATGGGCCGGTTGTTTGGCGTCCCTGGCACCCAACTGTATGCGCGACGCGCGGGCCTCCTCGCCCGTGAGGTTGGTGACGCAAAAGCTCGGGTTGAAGGCGAGGACCCGGGCGGGGCTCTCCCAGTCGGCGAAGTTATGCCTGTGGCAGGCCGCGAGCATGTTGAGCGCCGCCTTGCTGATGCGGTACGAGTCCCCGCGGAGCTTGGTGAACTCGCCGTTGGGGTCAAGCCGGAGCGTGATGGAGCCCTGCCCCGAGGAGACGTAGATGACGTAGGGCTTGGCCGACCGCTTGAGCAGGGGCTCCAAGGTGTTGGTGACCATCATCTGGCCCAGAACGTTGACCTCGAACGTCTGGCGGGTCGCCTTGACCTCGTCGGGCTCCTGGTAGGCGGACATGCCGGCGTTGTTGATGAGTACGTCTAGCCTGCCGAACTCCTTCTCGATCTGCTCCTTGGCGGTCGTGATGGTCTCCTGATCGTTCACGTCAAGCCGGACAACCGATATGGTTCCCTTCAGCGAGTTCCCGTACGCTGCTCGGATCTCGCTCAGAGCAGCCTTGCCCTTCTCCTCGCTCCTGGCGCTAAGGTACACGTGGAAATCGGCCGAGGTCTGGGCCAAAGCCGCGACGGTCTCATAGCCGATACCGCCGTTGGCACCTAATGTGCAAAGGTCAGCCTTCTAGCTGCTAACCCAACCTGACACTCATCCCAAGTTTAACATACCCGTGACGAGGATGATGGTCTTGTTAGCAGCCATTTTGATCGTTTATCTGAATATTCTTATGACTTGTTGGGAATGCCTCGCTCTGAAGTTGTTGTAAGTCGGGGAAGGGGAACTCGTCAAATCTTTAACCTATTAGGTACTTAGTCGACCAAGTATGAAGAATGTGGTTTTCAGCTCAATGTACCAAGATCAAGAAGCTATCCAGAGCTCCTGTTCCATCTTTTATGTAGGCCGCGAATATCAAAAAGCGGCACAACAGAGCGGGAGACCATGGCTGCTAAGTCCGTAAAATGCGAGCTTCAGCCGTATACTGAGCTGAAATGTTGTTAGCCTACCTAGTACAGGATGCTGTTTCCTTGAGCTTCCTTGACGGTGCCTGCGTTTACAGCTGTGAGGCCCGCGATGCCTAGGCCGACTTTTTAAGTCCGCTAAGTCCCTTGGGGGATAACAGAATGACTTACATATATTCCAGTTGCCTTTGGCCTCAATGTTCCGCGGAATCCAGACAAATGACGGTTAACCAACTCGAAGGATCGGAGCCTACCTATTTAGGCAGTAATGCGCAGAGCGCTTCTCATCATTATTCTCCACGATCCCCGTTGCCGTTCTGCCGCCTTTCCCCGGTTCCAATGGCGGTGTTCCGTCCGGCGTCCGCGGATCCCTTGAGAAACCTCTACGGTTGGCTTTTTCTATTTTCTCATGTGTATATCCTCGCGAGGTGGGTAACGCTTTCTTTTATTTACTCCACTCGCCATATTCTCAGATCGGGCTTTGGCACCACCAGAGTTGGGATGCAGCAAAAGAGGATGGCCAGACCAGATATTTGATTGTTGGCGAAGGGCTGATTCTGGGTGATAAACCCAACCATAACAAAACTCCATGATCTGGTAATTAGGTTATTCCTGCCTGAAGTACGGCCCACGGGGCACCCAACCAATGGTCTCCCTCGGTATCGCCTTGACTTTCCTAGCATCGGCTGAGTTTCTTTGATATTTGACTCTGGTTACCTAGTATACTGCAAGGTTTCATGATCGCCAGTGTCAGCAACCGGGTATAATCTGCTGTTGATACTGCCGTCCAGTTACATACTGGCCCTGTATCACCACTATACTGCATTCAGCCAATCATAGTGAATTTGAAGGGTTACTGTGTAAAGCTGTGTATTTGTCGACAAGTCCTTGAAGTGCTGCACTAAATGTGCGACTCGTTGTATGATGGCGACAGACAACATTTACAGTTGGCAAATTCCCTCTCCTGAGATTAAATACCTAAAAGTTCTATCTAGTCTTGCTGCATGTGGAAGCAACGCTCCAGCAGTTGTGTAACCTTAGCCCCAGGTGATTTACGCGGCTGCTCCTAGGCTACCATATGTTCCATTTCGTGTATGCTGCCAAGCACATAGTACTAACATAAGAAACGCTCTAATTTTAGTCTCTAATATACCTTCCCCCCTGGGTCAGTAATAAGCAAATCCATTCAACTGAGTAAATATTTCCCTACCTCCTACCTAACCTTGAATAACAGTGACTGTGTTGGAAAGCGCCATCCAAAGTCTGCAACTAGTCCCACCAACTGTGTTTTTTCCGTTGCCATTTCTCGCTTTAGAACATTGGTTAGGAAGGTAGGTACACTCGTGAGTCGTGTTGCACTCAGACCTCACACAACAATGGGAAACTAGACGCGATGCGCCTGACATAACCTCATGTACGCGATTGCCTTCTTCGTCTTTCGCTTTCGCGCCTTAACGGACGCAACCTGTGACTTACTTTGGTAGTCGCTACCACACACTGCGATAAAACAAGTTTACCAATTTTTCCTTCCCACGGCTCGTTAGGACTGTCCTTCTTTTGCTAGACGATCCAAAGCTTCAGCTTTGTGACACACGCTCGCTTAGAACCTCGATCTCGCTGCTACAAATCTCGCTCTCGCTTGACGCTTTTTGCTTCAACCTACCGCTCACTTAATACAATACGCCTGTACCGTGGTTAGCTGTTTCGTCCTTCGACAATCAGGGATGGTGGTTTCCCTCATAAGAGCCCCGAGGGGCATTCGAATCTTGCTTCCGCTTAGCTTCTTCCTGACGGTATTGGTCCTGGTCGGCGTTTATCACAACACCGGCCACGCGACCGATCTTCTGAACACCATAACCAACAAGTTCGAAGCACAGGGCCACGATGATGTGCAGAACAACAAAGAGCCATCCCACGACCGTCCGCCCAGCTCTCACCCCCTGCCCAAGTACAAGCCGACGGTGACGCTAGCCGTGCCCACTATCACCGATCCCTTCCCGCTGCTAGCCTCCTCGACCGGCGCCCCTCCGCCTATCCCCGAATACAATGTCCCGAAATCAGGTCTCCACCGCGACTATGGCCTCGGCTACATGCCCCCTCTGTTCATAGGCTTCACGCGCCAGTGGCCCATGCTTCTGCAGTGCGTTGTGAGCTACCTCGCGGCAGGCTGGCCGCCCGAGTCTATATACGTGGTCGAAAACACGGGCGTACATAACGCCAACGCCAACGGGAAGCTGACGCTGCAAAACCCGTTCTATCTCAATCACACCACACTGCGTCGCCTAGGCGTCAACGTCATACAGACGCCCGTCCTGTTGACCTTCTCGCAGTTGCAAAACTTCTTCTTGTCGACGGCGGCCTCGCGTAGCTGGCCGCACTACTTCTATTCGCACCAGGACGTTCTGGCTTTCTCCTTCGAGGACGGGCCCGATACGATCAACCGTCCAGGGGACCGGGAATGGTTCTTCTACAACGACAAGGAGAAGATGGAGGCGATGCGTCCCGCGGCCGCCCGCCAGCCGGGATACCGGACCATTTACGAGAACTGCCTGCGCGAGATAAACCAGACGCTGGCGAGCGGGGAGAGGTGGGCTTTCCGCTGGTTCCAGTACGATCACCTCACGCTCGTGAACCGTGAAGCCCTAGAGGCCGTCGGTGGGTGGGATAGCCTGATCCCGTACTACGGAAGCGATTGCGACATGAATGCGAGGCTCGAGATGGACGGATGGACGATGCGCAATCGTCGTGTCGGTATCATCAACGACGTCTCGACTGTCCTGGAAGATCTTGCTGGACTGTATCGTGACCCCAAGGTGATACCCAGCTTCTTCGATCCCAATCCCGTTCTTGGAGTCGAAGATTCCAAGGAACCAGACCAACCAGATGTTGTTGGCGATGCGCCGAAAAAGAGCAATATGACGGAAGGCGAAGAAGTTGGAGATGATACCGGCACAGCCAGTGAGAGCGAGAATGAGGCAAACATCACAGAAAAACGCAATGCAGACAGTCTGGGGCAGTCTCCTGTAGTCGACGCAAATGACCCGTTAGACTATTTCCGCACCCTTCTCAAGGTTGCCGACGAGATGGGCGAATACAAGTATCGGAATCGTGACTTGGCACGCAATTCTTGGCAGGGTAGCCAGCATGGTGGAAGCGGCGAGCCATATTATTACAACCCGGATGGGTTCTCCACCTCGTTCTGGATACTGGCCGAAGCCGGCCGAGAAGTATTCAGTCGGAAATGGGGCCACCGTGACTGCAATCTCGTGGAGGAAACGGCGTTGAAGCTGGGGGATCAGTGGCTCGTCGAGGCGGACTGGGAAGATGCCCCCTAGCCAAGGATCCTAGGCGCCTGGTCGGTCGTCGAGCTGTATGGAGTACATAAAAGCATTTGATATTATCCAGGACGGCGCTTGTTGTATATGTGGACGCATGGTGTACCTATGCCTCGGATAAGGGAAAGAACATCACAATATTTACCTTG